CTTACCTCATGTGACATGTCATGTAAGTTGAAGTAAGATTAAATAACTTACCCCATGTGACATGTCATGTAAGGTGAAGTAAGATTTAAATAACTTACCGCATGTAACATGTCATGTAAGGTGAAGTAAGATTTAAATAACTTACCGCATGTCACATGTCATGTAAGGTGAAGTAAGATTTAAGTAACTTACCCCATGTGACGTGTCATGTAAGGTGAAGTGTGATTTAAATAACTTACCCCATGTGACATGTCATGTAAGGTGAAGTGTGATTTAAATAACTTACCTCATGTGACATGTCATGTAAGGTGAAGTAAGATTTAAATAACTTACACCATTTAACATGTCATGTAAGGTGAAGTGTGATTTAAATAACTTACCTCATGTGACGTGTCATGTAAGGTGAAGTGTGATTTAAATAACTTACCTCATGTGACGTGTCATGTAAGGTGAAGTAAGATTTAAATAACTTACCTCATGTGACATGTCATGTAAGGTGAAGTGTGATTTAAATAACTTACCCCATGTGACGTGCCATGTAAGGTGAAGTAAGATTTAAATAACTTACCGCATGTGACATGTCTTGTAAGGTGAAGTGTGATTTAAATAACTTACCTCATGTGATATGTCAAGTAAGGTGAATTGTGATTTAAATAACTTACCTCATGTGACATGTCATGTAAGGTGAAGTAAGATTTAAATACATTTTTGTAACTTACCCCATGTGACATGTCATGTAAGGTGAAGTAAGATTTAAATAACTTACCGCATGTCACATGTCATGTAAGGTGAAGTAAGATTTAAGTAACTTACCCCATGTGACATGTCATGTAAGGTGAAGTGTGATTTAAATAACTTACCTCATGTGACGTGTCATGTAAGGTGAATTGTGATTTAAATAACTTACCTCATGTGACATGTCATGTAAGGGGAAGTGTGATTTAAATAACTTACCTCATGTGACATGTCATGTAAGGTGAAGTGTGATTTAAATAACTTACCTCATGTGACATGTCATGTAAGGTGAAGTAAGATTCACATGTCATGTAAGGTGAAGTAAGATTTAAGTAACTTACCCCATGTGACATGTCATGTAAGGTGAAGTAAGATTTAAATAACTTACACCATGTAACATGTCATGTAAGGTGAAGTGTGATTTAAATAACTTACCTCATGCGACGTGTCATGTAAGTGAAGTGTGATTTAAATACTTACTCATGTGACGTGTCATGTAAGGTGAAGTAGATTTAAATACTTACCTCATGTGACATGT